CGCCTCCACCACAGTCCCGGACGACGCCACCGCTTCCGTCCCCCCTCGGCGACCTTTCATTCCCGGTGCCCAAAGCAGCTCGCGCAGGCGGTGCCCGGACGCCGCGGCGCGCCGGAGGCGGATTGCAGGGTGGCGTAGGGCGAAGCGGGAGTGAGAAGTCAAGTACGTCATGTTCCTCTCGAGATTATCGTCAATAAATAAATCCTGTATCGTTTCCTCAGATGCGCGGATAGGGTAAAAGTTATTTAGTGCACTTTTCGAATTACGATCTAGTCTGAATCTTATCGGAACTCAGCACTTGCACCAACTCGTCAATTTTCGGAGATACGAAGCGCTGGTGGTTCATTTATGTACTAGAAAAACGCACAACAGGTCCTGACTTAAGCGATCGAGAGACATCCCGTTCTACTTCGGTTCAGTCCTGTTATTCCCAGCCTAATTCCAGTCCCTCACAAATTAGCCGTTTTTTGTTGTTTTGGTTCGAATAGATCATTTTTCTCTGCAACGATAATTACCACTAAACTCATTATATGTATCCCCACTACGAATGTAATAACTCATGATTTGAATTCACCATAAGCTTTTGGACGTTTTGGTATCACAGAATTCGTCGTCCGTTTGCTGCACAATAGCGAAGCGAGACTGCTGTTGCTGCTGCTGAGAAAGTTCCTCACGTTCTTCAACGCGATGTCGCCAGACATTCCGTATCGGTGACAGGCAGCATCATGGCTTTACACGCATAGGGCCCGAAACTAGAGTCCGATTTCCGAGCCCTGAGAAAAACAAGTTACTTTCCTACGGCGTACATCTACGAGGTACAGCCATTTGTCTACGAACACCTAGAATTCGAATTGTTATTTAAAATATTACACGCATGCATTTGTACGCTGGTAATTTATGACCATCACAAAGAAAACGAACAAAAAATAAATAAAAGGCTAGAGAATCCGGCAGCAGACGAGAGCTTTGCCTGCCGCCGACAGCACAACGCAGGGCTTTTCAGAAGAGTTTCCAGGTGGCTACGTCGAAAGAACAACACGAGGGACATCGTGTTTTCATGTCCGCCACACTCACGTCATCACACAGCCAGGGACAACACGGCCTGTCACCGACAGAACTCCGCTCACCGCGAAGAGAATAGATGAGCGGTAGTCCCCATTGTGTATACAAACGGGGTATCGCATTCATATCTCAGCCGTGGAATTGCTTTCAAAAGTAGCTTGAAAAGAACCGACTGAACGCCTATTCTTCGTCCATCATAGTCCACATCAATTAATCGAAGCTTTTTAAAATATAAATATTTGATATTTTATTTCAATCCTTGAAAAAGAAAGTAACTTTGTGCGTCGAACAATGTTCCCCAGAATTTTAGATAGATGATAGTGATTTAGACGATAGTGCATTTTACATCTACGAAGTATAAGTGGTTTTTTATTGGTTTAAAATCAAATTTGTGACTTCAGGAAACAACAAATTTAATTACTTGATTTACTCTTAATAAAAAGTGATGTAAGGAGATATTTTACAGAGTTACAGACACAATTTAAATCTTTGGGAAGGAAAGCAATTGCAACCTCTATTAAGAAGTTGAAAGATTAATTTACTTTACTGTATTTTTGTTTTCGGATCACGAATTTTAGATGACCAGATACAAAACTTAGGTGACTTTTCCTTCAACTTCTAGCACTTAACCAAACTTCAGGAAAACTACTAGACGGTGCAGAAGTTTTTGTTAATGAAGCGCGAAATGAAAAGAAATGAAATATCGGACTTTTCAATGTTTTAGAAGGGAAATTATTATTTGATACAAAATGTTATCATGAAGAAACCGGCAAGCATAGTAATTATTCAATACTCATTCAGCAATACTGCAATATAAAAATGTTAGTTCGACTATCGCACAGTCCTGACGTACATTACTTTTTCGAAAGTTATCATTTATTAACATCTTTCAACAAGTTTGTGAAATTAGAAATTAACAAATTATTAAAAAATAAATAAAAACAAAAATTCCTACTTCGGTTATCCGTAGACAAATGGTAAAAAAATTAAATATTCTGATTCACAAAAAAAGTTTAATATTTGACACTAAATAGTTACGTTTTGCTTATTATCATTTTAGGCCGCTGAATAATTTGTGTATATTTAATAATACTGCCATCCATGCAGGCATCTATGGAAGTGAGCGACATTTTACGAAGGATGCTGTATTACAAAATGAAACAGTACTGGAAAATGTGTAAAGGCGTCACTGTTAACTAGCGATACAAATGGCCTAACTTGTTTTAGGAAAGTGCCATTTGTCCACAGAAAACTTAAAAGCCTCAATTTGGCAACTCCTTCAACAGAATTCATCTAACCATAAACCTGTCCACGCCTGAGAAATACCCAGGTATTTCCCAGTCTTCCTCAAGAGGGAAAGGGCGGAGAAAGCTTAATCCCTTCCGCCAGGAAGCCCAAAGGGCCCCTTCTACGTCACTCCCTAACCCCCTTTCCCCTCACCCAACGCCACACCGTGCACGCTCCGAGGATAGCGAATTACTTACGCAGTTAACGCATGGGTGGAGCGCAAAAGAAGAATTTCAAAAATGATCAAATTACACTGCACAAGTCCAAATGTGTCATGAGTCTTGTATACGTACCATTGAAGTTCAAATCCTGCGTCATTATTATTTCAGTATCTGAGATATTTCTCGCTAATTTTACACACCATTGCAACTCTTCATGGCACAGAGAAGTCGTCTTTTGTACTCTGACAGTACAGAATTTTATAGTGTATCTTAAAAATTATATAAACTCTTGCACCCTCCAGAAACGGAGACTGAGGTTATCTACGGCATATATAAATTTTCTTTTTGATAGTATGTACTCTACGTAATCTCTAAAATTTCATTTACTCTCGATAATTACTCCCAAATAATTTCATTTTTATACCCGTTGAATTTCCTGTAAGCCTGCTAATTTAGTTTCTCTTCCTTCTATATTTCTTTCATTACGCAAAATCATAAATATAGTCTTTTCAACATTCCTTACTAATTTGTTTAACCTTAGGCATTCTTGCATTACAATAAACACACTTCGCAGTTGAAATTCAAATTCCACTTCCTCCTCCCTTAATCTTCTCCGTCTCTCTTTGCTTCTGTTTCTCCCCCCCCCCCCTTCCCACCGCCCGCTGCATATCCTTTCGCCGCGCAGGCAACCCGAGCCGAGCTGAGCAGAGCTGAGCTGAGGTGCACGGAGCGGCATACAGGCGCCGCCTAGAGGGGTTATTAATGAAGTGACGCAACAAAGGCTGGAAATACTAGAACGGCGGCGCGCGCCGGCGGGGCCGGGCCGGGCCGGGCCGCGCTGGGGCAGGCCGGGCCGTCGCGGAGACTTTCACCGGCGGCGCGCGACGACACAGGGCGGGGCGGCGTCGGGCGGGGCGCGACAGGCGTTCACCATGCCTCGCGCTGCTTCAGCCGTAGTCCGGAGGAGAATTCTAGCAGGAGGCCGCTCTCATAGGGAGTTTTCCGTCGTTTCTCCGATCAACACCAGGCGAATGCCGGAGCAGTACCGTGACAAACGGGCCACGGACCGCGCGCGCTCTTACTTTCCTCTTCCTTCTCCTATCTGCACCCCTTACACACGCTTTCACTAATATGCACTACACTATCGCACTCGCCGGGAGACCAGTCGGCTAATATTCACCTCCAGGCAGTGTCTAAAGGGCCAGCTATGTAGCTATACGCCCATTTAAACATAGCTGCACTTCACGATCGCGAGGTGTAAGGAGAGGGGAACACTATCATCTAATCGGGATTTTCATTAGGACTTAAACTTTGGTATTGGTGCTCTCCATTGGATAACAATGTACCTCCCACCTTCGTACACGTGACCTTGTAGTGCAGCTGTGTTTAAAATCAGAGTATAGTATGGCAAAACCGCCACTGACGGGATTCGAACCCTAAGACCTCCTGGTCAGAGTCGCTGTAGTGGCAACTTCATAGCAAGCCCCATGGCATTTGGGTAGCGAATTCCTACTGAGTTACGATTTGTAGGAATTTGATATGTGAATACATACAATGACAATGTTTGGCCTGTCACTTAACATATTGTAGTTCACGTATGTTATGTTAACAAGACATTTCCTGAGGGGAGAAACCGAGGGTCTCCGCCAACTTGGAAATGCGGGGGGAGGTGGCAAGTCAACATGTTCCTGAAAGTATTTTAACTCATGCCACATTTAAACACGCACAGGAAAGTAGGCAATGCACAAACTCATGGCTGTTTTCTGTAAACCGTAGAGGCAATCACATAGTGTCCTGTTTCGAAAATATAACATTGTTTTTACATTATTTAACTTAAAAATATAAATATGTATGTTTTGTAATTAAACTCGAATTAATGTCAAAAAATAAAAAATTACGCAGAAATTCTGCTATTCTTGAGCAAAACAAATCACACACGGGCCTCCGTGGCGCAATCGGCTAGCGCGTTCGGCTGTTAACCGAAAGGTTGGTGGTTCGAGCCCACCCGGGGGCGTTGATTTTTTTTTTTTTAATTCCGGTTTGTTGAGTACGTTCCGTCTCTCGCTAAGTCGCGCAAATTGTGACCCTTTTGGAACGAAACATCACATATAACAAGGACATAATTTCAAGAAAAATGATGACAGACCGGTGAGTAATTTCAGTCTGCAAGTTCACAGCAAAGTTCAAACTATGAGGCGAATTACACGCAATAATAGCTGTGGTAGCGGACCCTGGATGAGGCGGGATTTGTAAAGCAGTCAGACACAATTGACAGTATACTTTTAACAACACTAGTCTTCAACAAACGTAGGTTTGTTAATATCAGAAGGAAACTGTCTTAAGTTTTATAAACTATTGCTGTGCTAGTTTTCTCACACGGAAGCAATAATTCGAACATTAAAAGATCAAAAGAAACAAAATAATAGAGATTCAGAAAAACCTACATTTCTAGAAAAAATCCAGTTTCATCTTAGATTTAAAACACAGATATCAGGAATAACTGAAATCACAATATTTTGAAGGAAAAACCAATGGCTCGAAAATAAGAGCCCATCTCCACTGAAACATGAGATGAACGCATAATAGAACCAGTAAAAATAGAATTCATAGGTATATTTGCTAGTAAACAACTTCTAGATCGGCAGATAAATCATGGGAGAAATGATAACTGTGCATCATAAGGCATTAATAAACATCTAATTACACGCATATGGAAGGTTTACAAGGAACAAAAATAACGTACTATTACCGGACGCAGAATGTAGCTTGACACAGAATAAACACTGAGATGACAAAGTACGTATCGTACGTCATAACTTTCAGAACATTTCGAAGCAAACCGCATACAAAAGTTTGTTGTGTGGTCTGCAGGAATGCTTAGACACCGAAAACAAAATTAAGATGTACATCACGATTTCTTTTCTTGTCTTGAAACATTTTTTTCTGAGAGCAGTTGCTTGTAAATATTTTAACAACAACATATCTCAATGCACACTTTTCATTGAAATCGTTTTGCAAAAGGAGCTATCAGATATTCAAGTAGCATTCTTCACTTGCTTTTCGATGAAAGACTACTCGTTTGTCAAGTACCTCGGTTCTTTGGTTTCTGTTTCCACCAAAGACTCCCGGGAGAGGGGACCACATTATGCTTTCATGTAAGGATATTTGCAGTTTATTATACCCCTTGGTATCTTTACGTGGTTAGTTAGTGGAGTATAAACGCATGCGTCAACACTACAGGATGGGCAAGCAAACACACGCATACAGATGTATACGTATTCGTCATTCAAGACGTGTGTTCGAGATTAATGTTCACGACGTGTGTGCTTTTTGGATGCAGTTCACTAACTTGTTCTTCGTTCATTTAAAAACAAAACATGGGCGCTATGAGATAATATAGTATTGAAACAAATGAGGCTTTGTACAGGAAAAGGTAGATGCGAAAAGTTCAGGACACAATTATTTTCTAAATTTTGATTGTGTAATAATGACGCCAAATCCATTTTAATCGCTTACACTTCAATAATATATTTTGCATTTTACATTGTATTGACTAGATTACTTAGACGTAATGATTTCAGCTTATGCAAAACTTTCAATATATATATATATACATATATACATGACCCTTTTTTCACAGAACACCCTCAAATTAGTACTTTCCGTCAGGCGCATTTATGTAGATTACTGTTCATAACTTAAGCATCTCCGTGAACAAGAATATTTTAATGTAAGACACATGAATCATCTGAAACTTCAGCGTCAGATGTTCCCACCTTCATACCTGCTTCACTCCTTAAAATTAACGGCGTGACAGGACAACACAACAAGGGGACAAGCCCTCGACTAAACTACACGTCATGACTATTCAGTTCTCCTCTGTGTGACTCCTTGGCGTCGATGTAGTGTACCGGGTTGAGTGCTGAAAGAGCATTGATGTGGACACACATCCTCATTAAGACACACGAGGGAAATGTATTTACGGGAACACGATGTAACAGTTTACGTGATTCGGAAGAAAAATACTCGAAGGCGGGAATGTTGATGCTAAGAATCAGACTACTTTTCAGAAAAGTTTGAATCAAACTCTTAAAACAAATTGGTGCAGTTTAGAGTGAAAAATGCTGGGATTCCTGGATTCCGAAAAGAATTTTTGACAAAGCTACTTTACTCACAAAATCTATAAAACGAACACGAAATACTGGAGGCACATCCAGAATCTTCGTACAGGGAAGGGGGCGGGGTGGGGGGCTTCAGGTACAGTGTTCATCCATCGTGTTTTTCTCGTATAGAATTTTTCATTTATGCTGAGTAAAAATGTATTTTTATTTAATTGCCTTGGAACTAAAGTGGTCTATGAACCATTTTGACTACAATCCAGGTTATGGTAAATTTGATCTGAATAGGTGAGCATCTATACATTCTGAAGAGGTATAGGTGTCTATGGAAGGAATCACAATGACACTAAGACCACTTACGAATTTACTACTAATTAAAACAATCTACCATCTATAACGGTATTTTTATTACGCGGCGCTTAAAACGATCGTACTTTATCGAATTAATTGTAATGTTTATAAATATTAACAATGCCTACAAATTTTGTGTACATTGTTAATATTTACAACGTTTAAATTAAAATATTGAATAACTTTCGTCAATATGGAAAATGAGTACGAGCTATTTTTTTAATGCATCATTGCTTTCTTGAGGGCAGAAGTCCCATGAGCCGCCTGGACGAGGCATTGACAAAACATCTGACGCTCTAGAGAAAACAAATATTTTTTGATCTAGGACGTTATCTTTATTATGCACTGTCTCATGAAGAATGTTGCATTTAATGTATGATAATTTCTGAACATGCGATTCGGTGCGCGGAGAAGACCACTGGCGGGGGGAAGATGTTTCAACGGAAGGCAGTATGGGAAGTCCGCCTCTGGACAGAACGCCGAGGCTAAAATTAGCACTGCGATCATTGGCGACGCGAGAATGGAAACAAACGGTGGCAAAGTGGTGATTCACCGACGCCTAACCTACTGCGCTATTCATAAGCCTCTTAAGAGAAGGGAGAGGACGAAAACCCTCCCTCCTGGTCCGAAATTCGGGAATTTCCGAATCCCTAGACGCGTAAAAACGGCACAAGTCCGGAGAAAGACTGTCCCTTTGGCAATTTGGGAAGATGACAATAGGGATTGGGTTTTCCGTAGCCCATTTGTTAATTCATAGCGTTATTTTTCTTAGTCCTGCAACAACCTGATATTTTTTTAGTAACAAAAACCAACTACTGTTACTATTAAGTGGCGCCCCAATTTATACTACATACTCATGTATGTAATATTCTTCAATAATAAAAAATATAAATGCTCTTACAAATGAATCTAAATTGGTAAAATTTACGTTTACTGTATATGAGAAAAACTGATCATCCACATAATAATATAAAACATGTCACAAACAATACTGAAGATATATTCCGATCTACTTAAATGATGTGTTGGAAAAGAAACGTTACCCAGCATTTCAGCATGCTGCATTCTGAATTGACGCATTTTATCGAATGTCTGGGATTGTATGCAACAGCATTCTAGACAAATGTTATTTCAGGAGCCAAGGTAGGAGATGGATGGATCCTACATTTTCCAAGTACTCGCTCAAGTAAAGTCTTAATACTTAAATTGGTTGGTGGCGTTCTTTTACTGGAGCAATTCAAATACTCTATAACTTCACCAGAGATTCGTCAGTATGGATTAATGAGCGAAATAATTGGGTTCATTAAATTATTGCTTTACGAATAAAGTATGTTTCAAAACGCATTCTAGACAATATAGCACGCCTTCACTTCTGAGATCCTCTCCACATCAAAGGAAGAATTTGTATTTCCCTGCATTCACAAACCAAAAGATAAAAATAGAGCTTTGCTGAAAAGTCTTCTGGGTATTACCAGTCATTCATTCTTTCCGAGGGAATAAAACTCTGTTTAACTTCGCGTTAAATATATCTATGACCTCACTGAAGCAGAAATAGATGTTTCACAACTGGTTCGTAACGGGAATAAATTAATGTTGCTTTCTTTAAGATAAAAACGCAATATCGTATGTTTCACAAATAAGGAATTGAAAAAACACATTTATGAAGAAATTATGGTTTATTTGAATTCTAAAATCCTGCACGTTATGACTTTTTGGACATCGTGTAGTTTTTTAAGGGAATAATACGTTTTTCCAAGCGTAATAGTAAAGAATATTATTTCGAACTTTGCAGCATGATTATGCTGATTTTGTCGTTAATTATCTCCTAGTTATCAGCATTAGAAAAAAATATCTTTAGAATTACGCAGCTACATTCAGATCGTCAGAATACACGCATATTCGCGTTGTTTAAACGCTGAAATCGACATAAAATAAGTGTAAGAAATCGTCATTTTAAGGCCGCATGGTTCCACTCGCATCTTGTTTTCCTTCAGATCCCCTGAGTTTGCAGTCACTCCCGACATCTGGCTCGCCCACCCGGTCGCTCGCCGGCCCGCCCACCTTCCGACAACCCCGGCCTCTTGCTCACCCACTCGCCCATCACCCGCCCATCCATCAGCTCAATCCCTCTCTCTTTCTCTCCCTTGCTCTCTCCCCTCCCATTCTCCCTCCCCTCTCTCTCGCCCGCTCGCATATCCGTTAATACATTCAGTCACTCACCTGCCAGTCCACCCCACTTGCCCTAACCCGTCCAGCTCACATATCAAAAGCTTACCTGATTGACATTTAGCGCGATATTCGCGATATCCGCCCGCCCACGAGCACGTTCACCCACTGCCCCACCTGCTCTTCTCCGCCTGCACCACCCCCCCAACTACCTCATTCGCCAGCCCACTCTCCTGGACGAAATCTGTCCCATTCTACGTACCCTCACGCCAGTCCCCTACCGTAGACTAGCGAGGTATATCATTACTACATACCCTCACCCACCAAACGCGATCACGCCTATCAGCCCTAGTGTCTTCCTTTTCGCCCCGTTCACTCT